TTTTCAGATACTAACAAAGACTAGCTTCTTTGTAAATTGATGGAAAACTTGTAATCTCGCTTATTATATACAATGAGACTGCATCGACTAGTTTCGAACGTATCAAACGGCACATACGAAATTAATTTGAACAATTTTATACGAATAGCCGAAGAAGCTATTTGTGGAAAGAGTTGGAAGCGTGACACTCACAAAAGTCATTGGAAAAATTCAACGTTGCAAATTTGCGAAGAAAAGTGTATATCTTATCCAGGCGAAGAGTAGGATTGATTTTTCTTTATTGTTCTTTTAGTCGGCGCAACCTAGACACAACCTTCAGAAAAGCCCTCCAATGGCACAAATCAAAGAATCAATCTGAGCTCTTGATATATAGGTACGTAGCTCGCTGGCAGCATGGATCCAAGGCTAAAGGTCGCCAGCGGCTATAGTAGCTCACTGAGAGAGAGAGAGAGAGAGAGAGAGAGAGAGAGAGAGAGAGAGAGAGAGAGAGAGAGAGAGAGAGGTAGTGCTGGTGCCACCTCCCTTTTGTCCTCGGTTACGACTGGAGAGTAGTAGAGGCTGCTTGACGAAGCCGTCAAGAGCCATTTGAATTTCGCGGATTTGAATGCACGACCACGAGGCGCGCTGACAGGCTACCCTTTCGCTATCCCTTTCGCCAACCCCGCCAAGAACTACTACATCTCCCCACTAAGAGCCTCATTACCATTTCACTTAATCTTCTATTATATCAGGCCAGTTCGAACTGATTGATATTTCTAACAATTGCGAGTCTGTCAAATCTTACAATCTCGACGTTCCTTTGACTTTACTTCATCTAAATACTTTCATCTAAATAATCTGTTTTCCGTAGTAATAGTAAAGTCAATTTTGTTAGCAAATAAGATGTTACTATTAAGAGAACTTTCTAGGGCCTCTAAATAAGATTTTGGTACTCATGAGTAAAAAAATGAAAGCCTTTACCGAGTTTTTCAAGATAAAAAAAATTTTTTGTAATGATACTTTTATTAGGACGATTTTTATATTCTAACAAAGAAAACTTTCAATATTTACTATTTAACACCGGATGGTCCTGTAAAAAGTTGTACACGTAAAAAGTTGCCATATTTATTGAAAACTGACTTGACTTTTCGTAGACATGTTATATTGCACGGAAAAACAATTGTGTTACAGAAAAAAGAACGAAAATTCCAAATTATGAAGAATACTTGTCATCTAAAACAATACTTTTTGTTTACAGATGAATTTCATTCGTTTTACATATAGCAAACAATATGTGTACTATAATATAAATTATGCGCGAAGTAAATTTCAAATATAAATTCTGTACCGGCATTCAAGGCAAAAGCTTTGACTTTCATCATTTTTTCCTGGGCTGTTGGCTCGCTTGCCATAAGATGTAACTGTTATTACCATATCGATTCGATGAAAAATCTCAAATCTATTAATTCTTCGTCTGCGCCTTTTGCATGCAGATTCTTATTTCAGTTTCAAATTACGTTTCCTACATTGTATCTCCTAACTAACCGTGTAAAAGTATTTCGTTATATATGCCATCAGTCGCACATATTAAGCAATCCTACGCCACAAATACATGCAGGTCGGATCGAGTTCGTTTGAGCTGAAAACACAAACGAAAGCGTGCAAGTTGTTTTGAAAACTGGCATCTCTCGGAAAAAGTAGTGAAAAACCGATTAAGAGTTTTGAAAACGATACAGTGTAAATGCAGAAGGCTTTCGGGAAAAAAATTGCGGGCCGAAAACGCACAATGAAACGGAAGTTTGCCCATGTGCTCATATTTCAAGGGAAGGAGATTTTGCTCCGCAATTTTGGCTGGAGAGCTCATCTGAGTGTCCCGAAGAAAAAGGCGCACGTACGTACATTACGGGAGCCAAGCTTAATGAAAAATACTTTGGAGAGTTTGCTCAAAACCATCCGAAGTAGCTGCAATTTAGAAACAGCCTGCACATTACAACGCTACATCGCCGCGTTTTATCATTTTTATTTGAGAGAAGGCAGCAAACGAGCTCTTTCGGAAAAATAAAAGATAACTTCCCATTTCAGGTACACTTTGTTTCTCTCGTTGAAGCGTACTATTGACACGATGCGATAATTAATCGGGAATGCATTTGAAATCAAATAGCTTTTTAGGTGAAAAGCTGAAGGGGTATTTCAAAAACAATACATTATTAGAAGATCGATGATTACATGAATTTCGCATGAATAAGAGTAATTACCGCCCCTCGGATAATTGTACTCTTTGATACTAATGCGCTGCATTCGACTAATGTTTGCGAATTGTTTCACAAATGACCAGGGATTTTGTACGTTCTAAATATTTCAATAGTGTCAAGATTTATATCATAACGTTGTTAACGTATCTGTTCGCTTTAATGAACTACAATGCATATATATATGCATATACATATTATATATAATGTCTACACGTTGAAAAAATCTGAAAGAAAAACAATTTAACAATTATTTATATGATTGTTCAAAATATTTTGTTGCTTTCAACGTTTAGGAAAAATTCTACTTATTTCATTACTATAATCAACTTGACAAAGTATGTAGCGCGTCACTGTTGGAGGAAATTCATCCAACAAATATATTGCACAGTTGACCCTCTCGGAGGATGTAATGGTTTTCACTAATCGCTGCCAGTGCACGTTTGCCCGCAAATGATTATTGGGCGCAGAGTTTCGCCCTACAAAACTTGGAATGGACATTGCCATAGTATCAATCAAGCCCACATAAAGTTTTCTTCTGCTATCTGTCTTCAGTTTCCTACATACTCACATACCAAACTACACGAAATATATAATTTTCTCAGCAATTTATTTCTGACAGCTTTACTTCCACACATTAGGCTAATCTGAAGAATGCATTGCAGGAAATGCAAGAGAAAAGTTAAGTCATTTGTTTGATGCCACGAAATATCACTAGTTTATTTCTTTTGCTGCCTCCGATACCCTTGAAAGCAGTTCAAGGGGGATATTTCAGATACTTGGAATAAATAAATTCGATCACGCCGTATGATACTTTATTCGCTGCATTGAAAAAGCTATTATTTTTAAAGATCATTTAAAAACATATGCTCGGATTCGATCAAAGTTTCTGCGATTTGGTGGTGCATAATCGTTTAAAGCAACATTAGGTTACGATTCATATAAACAGAGAAAAAGGGAGCAAAGTTAAGTGCCTGAGGACAATTGCCGTTAATATGCCCAGCTTATGGAAATGATGTTCTGATTTTTCGTTGTTATCAAGAAAAGGAATTCCCTTTTCGTACTTCATGAAAGTGAATTAGGCGGGTGAAGCGCATTACAAATAACGGATTCAAAGTACGCTTCAATTTGAAATTTATACGCTATAGCTAAAAGACCGCTACAATTAATCGGCATCAGTTGTTTTTTTTCAAAATGTGGAAGATAAACGATAATCTAATTAGAAAAACGAGACAAAAGTAAGCTGTTTTTTTTTTGGCGTTTTTCAAGACCCATCGGAGTTGTTTGGTGGTACGTGCGCTTGGTGAATGAGATGCTCCAGGGTCACTTGGCCTCGAGTGACGGGCCAACCATCGGGACTGGAGAGTTCTCTGGCGCGCACGCGACACGTATGAACGATGCAGCGAAGAAGAGAAGGTCGGATGGATTGCCGCTGATCGCGAGACGCGCGCGCCCTGCATTGTCCTTTCTTTGCATGCTCGCGCAACTGTTGTTGCTCGCGCGCACGTGCCAGCAGCAGCAGCAGCGAAACGAGCTTTTCTCGCATCCGCGTCACGTCCTCTCAAGAGACGACGAATCGCGCTCGCCCAAGCTGCAGACTGTAAAGATAAAGGGGCAGAGGGACACGGGGACACGCCAGCGGAGCGCGCCAGAGGGTAGATGAGCGTTACCTAATTATAAGCTTCGCTCCGCGAGGTTAAACATCTATATTCTTTTAATTAAGCTCGCGCGCGCGCGTGACTCGCCCATCTCGCTTTTTTTTTATCTTCCTTCTCCAGACCGTAGCTGCGCTGCCCTCTCAACTTTGTGGCTACTTTGGAAGTTCTTTAACGTCTAACAAGCTCTTCGCTCTTCTTTATTTTTCACTGCTCACGCTCCCAAATTACGAACGTCAAAGCGATGATAGCTCAATTTGCCGACAACATTTTTCCATAGTTCTCGCAAGACGTCGGCAGCGGTAAACAATGCTACCTACGCTAAGGCAAACGGAATTCGGATCTGTTGCAGACTCCAATCTTCATCGAGGACAATCAGTAGTGACGTTTACGGACTGCGACGGGAGCGAAAAATAGCGTAGTGGACATGCCCTTCATAGATAGTCTACGACCATTTCATAAATGTCAACCCATCAAGTAAGATTCATGCCTGGCCAACAGTTCGAGCGTTGGTTCTGAAGGAAACGCCGAAAGCGCTAGAAGGAGAAAGGAATGGATATAAATGACGACGAGAACACTGCGAGCGAAGGCATCGCAGGACGTAATAAACGAGCAACAGCCCGGCAAGAATCTAACGGATCGCTGCTCCATTGCGAGGCAGCAGTTTGCTGCAGGGCGTAGCAGCAACGGCTATGCTTAATTAGCCGCGATCCGATCGTGAACATCGATCATCGTTGCCTCTCTCCCTCGATACTCTCTCTGACTTATCTACTTAGCGGGGAGAGTGAGAGAGAGAGAGAGAGAGAGAGTAAGAAGGACGCCTGGTCAGAGATTAAAGTCTCGATGGCTATTTGCACGGATCTTCTCGGAGCACTGGAATTGATTTACCTGCCAAGGGTACGTGTAGCAAAGTTGTATGGCCAGCGATTTCTTGGGCGATTGCCTTCGTCAATATTTGTTGCTGCTTCGCGAAATCTTTTCTTTCTACTTTTTCTCTTCTCTCTGTTCGTTTACGCGGCTTTGCACTTCGAGGAACTCTCGAGTGCACAAAGTGTTGCTTTCTTCAGTCGAAGAAAATTTTAATTACTCGGATGATGAATGTGAAATAGTTTAATGTTTTAACGCTGTCAAAATAGAACTTCAAGTGCCTTATGTTAGACAAGTATCAACTTTCTTAGTTATTTTTTTATGCACAATTTTCAGCGTTCCAAAGCCAGTAGATGTGCCATTTTTTTCAATTTGTTTGAAGATACTTTGCCCCCTGCTGTTTTTGGTATATTTTCTATGAACTTTACTCCACCGTGTAATTTTCTGTGTCTGCCGAATGAAGCAGATAGTTCGATAAGCTCGTTCTCGGATACCTGCCAAATATATATAGTGATTTTAATCAAAAGTATGCTTACTCTCGCGTACGACGATTATTTCGATGGTCTATATTGACCATATTGGGTTCAAAACCATTTATGATTAAATAAAATTATTAAAATCATACTTTAAAAGTATAAATATTATAACCTATCATTTTTATATTAAATTACACTAAATGCAAAACATAAAAAATATGTTAAAAGTTATAAAAATAATAAATATTCAAAAACAATTCTAAATAATATAAAAAAATTATATAATTCATTTCGTACGATAAGTTTGAACAAAATACTAGAACGATGATAAATGGAATTTCCACGCTCATGAGGGTTCGTCAGTTGATCACGTGCAGCACTCATATTGCTTTGAATAATTATTTTTTTAGGAAAACATATCGATAGAGTAGAAAGTATAGGATAATCTTAGACGTAAGGTTGTCATGCTAAAACTATTATGAAATTGTTCCATACTTGTAATCCTGAAGTTCGTCTGACAAATGCAACTGCGTGTTCTCCATGAATGTCGTGGGGTTTCGGAACCACAGCAACCTCGGTTACACCTGGATGAGTCAATAAAATTTCTTCGATTTCGCTTGCAGAAATTCGTTCATTATCGAATTTCACAATAATCTTATCCTTTAATCTATCAACGATAAATATTTCCCCGCCGTCATCGTAATAAGCCAAATCATCAGTATGTAACCAACCTGACAAATTTTTTTTTATTTGTTTAATAAATAAGTTAATGGTATTTCGTTAACAACAAAATACTAGTCGAAATTTCTTATTGTCGGTGATTCTCAAGTACTTGGATCGCAATTTTTACCTTCATTATCGAATAATTCTTTGGTTCTTATTGAATTCTTGTAATAGCCACAAAATAGGTCTGGCATTTTTACACAAAGTTCTCCTTCTACATTTGGCTCAACAGCTTTCCCGGTTGTTAAATTCACAACTTTCAAACTAACATTTGGTCCTACGAATCCGATAGAATCATCAGATTTACATTTCTTGGTTTGAATAGCTACACACCTCAACGTTTCTATCAAGCCTACGATTCAATTGATGAAACTGTACTGTTAGTATTTAATTTATCAACTTATAAGTTTTGGAGCATTTTCAGAATGTATAGAAAAAAAATTGATTACCGTAGCCTTGTACAATTAGTGCATGAGGTAGCTTTTGTTTAAATTTTTTATATATTGTAGAATTGACTTTCGATCCCGAAATCAAAACGTATTGCAAGGACTCTAACTTGTACTTATCCAAAGCATTTGATTTATATATGTAATTGATCATAGTCGGCGATGCTAATAGCAAGCGAATCTAATTTAGAAAATTGAATTTAAAAGATAGTTGTAATCTATATGTTTTGGCAACTGTTAGAATCTGAAAACACGTACCTCGTATTCGTTAATAACTTTACAAGTATGTTTTGGATTAAAATTTCTATGAATGATCCTTGTTCCTTGACATAAAGTCGTTTTAATTATTAAAGCGATATATGAGACCAAATATGGACTTGCATATGATAAAGATACTTTATCAGCAGGCATAGGTGCGAATAGAATTGAATTTTCAAGCAAAGATTTATAGGAATGATCCACGCCTTTTACAGGACCATCGGATGATAAGGCAATCATAGCTACAGTGTTTTGGGGATCAGATATTTCAACTGGTGAGAAACTTTGAATTTCATATCTGGATTGTTCTTCCATAATATCAACTAAAGTTTCATATTCAATTCTTTTTCCGAAAACCACAAGCTTGACATTAAAGTAATGTTCCAATTGAGCAGCCTCTTTGAGAACCTCAAGTACACCCTCCCATACAAATATAACCTTCGGGCGTATGAGCTTTATAAATCGACGAGCTGATTCTAAAAAAATGTTATTTCGGTTGAGATTAACTTATTATCTTAATCGAAAGGTAGTAAAAAAATACCAAAACAAAAAAGAACATTTTTAGTTTGAATGACTGTTAAAATGGATTGTTTAAACTGTCAAAGATATTGAAAACTTTGTTCGATAAATATTAAAATGAGCTTATGTAATATAATGTTTTTATTACTTATCGTGACATCGTGATTCCAGACGTTAAACGTTGCTCCGACGTAAAACGTAGCGAAGATAGGAATATAAGTATCGAGGTGATCATACATACAAATTGTGACAACATCACCACTACCTATTCCTTGTTTTTTCAACCAAAGCGCACAACGAACCGAATCATCTTTCATTTCACCGTAAGTAGTACGTTTATCGGTATCTGCATCTACCTGTTTATGAGAACCATTAGTATAATAAAGCCATAATATTACAAGCCACATAGCACTCCCAAATAAATAATAGTTTGCGATTGTTAGTACCTGAGCTATGTGCTCCAGATTGCAACCGAGTGTTTGAAAAATAGCTTGACCTACATTCTCGGTCTTTAGTTGTAAATCTACTTTCACTCCATGAAGTGTGTTGTTTTCAATTACAAAATTTGTTATGTCCTATTTGAAAAGTTATCAAATGGATATATACAAGATTTGTAAGCATAAAGTTACAATTTAATTAAACAATGTTTAGCATACTTACAAGACTATCGACACTTTTGCAATACATTTTATCAAACATGACAATAAAAACGCGTCAAACAAATGAAATTATTGAACGACTACGTGTTCAACCACAAACTACGTAAATCAGTGCAAAAAGCTAAACGATCTCGAACTCGCTATCCAATTCCCTTATCAAAATTTATCTATTCTACATTGAAGTAGTATTATCCATCGAGCGTACAAGCAAATGAAATTATTCCGCTTAGATAATAAAGACGAAAGAACTCACTATCAAGAGAAATAGATATCTGATAAGACTATCTACAATTCGAATGACAATAACATTACCAAATAATTATTATATAGAGTCCCGAGTAAAAATAAAACTTGGAAGTATTTTATTGCTAAAGGATTAAATACTGGTCTAGCACACTTGGAAAGAAAGCCTGCACTGTGGCTGAATGTAAGCTGAATAACAAGCAAATGAATAAAGAAAGCAGAAAGGGTAGAATGTCTGAACCATCTCTCTCTCTCTCTCTCTCTTTCTCTCTCATCTGCATCAGACGGCCAAGTTATATCTGTGACTAGCTCGACTCTTCTGGCTTGGCCTCCAATATTTCAAGCGAGCGTCAGGAGCAAAGTCTCGTGCATCTCGCTGAGCTTTGCCTTTTGCCGGCTCTTCACGCTACGACTTTTTCTTCTGCTTTTCACGCTTCACAACTATTTGTCACGCTTATGATGCTTACGGTTCGGTCGCGATGTGCTGCTATTTCTTGAAAAATAAGCGAAAGCCACCCTTGTTGCTTTTATGCTCATTATTACAGCTTACAGCTTGCAATTTGAAACTTATTCATATTAATAATCATTAATAATCAATGTACAGGTGCTGTCGAGGAATCATTTCAGTCGAATGAGTTTTTAAATATAATGAAAGCCGTTAAATGTTCAGTCAGTCGGACTTTAAGGCGATTAAAGATATAAAGACTCTTCATTGGAATAGCATTAATTATTTTGTAGCGCCGTCAAATAAATTATTCTCTCCTTTACGACTAATTAAGGATGGCAGTTAGCGTAGCAGCAGTGCGCCAGCGTTAATAATCCGCGCCGCGCGAGGTCGCTGCCTATATAGTCGAAGCGGTAATGCGCGAAAAACAAGGCAAATTACGAGGCTGCGGCGCCGCGCCTGCACACACACACACATACGTCGAAGTGCAGAAGAGGCCGCACAGCGGGGCTTTGTCAGTTTTGCATTGCTGACAGGAAGATGATTACGAGGACGTAGCTTTTTGTCTGTGCTGGCACTTTGTTTTGGCCTCTCTATCCCCGCGAGCACTCGTTTTGTTTTTTTTTTCTCGCGAGTTTTAATATTAGCCACGTGTAGCTCCAACAAACAAAAATAAAACCAAGAAACCTTTTGGCCCCTAGCGTCTGCCCTGATGATGATGAATGTGTTTTTTACGGAGTTTTTGCCTACAAATTACTCAAAGAATGACTAAATGAAGGTTTGTTCGTAATATTTATGGGCGTGTCAAGGAAATTATTTCAACAGAAGCGTTACAGCGTCTGTAATTCACAATATAAGGCTTTAGTGTAGTCGAACACAGACAGTTTACGTAAAATATCGCACAACATTAGCAGGTTTTTTACGCAAAAATGTCTTATGCTTCCAGCTCTCGAGAATCCGACTAAAATTTGAATGGATAATTCAGTCAATGTTTTGGAAAGTATTCCTGTGAGAGCGAGCGCGGCCGCTCCTCTGACGTCTTGGTCGCGCGCGAGTTGCGAAGAATGTAGGTCGTAAAAAGTTCGTACATCATAAAGCCGCACGACGCTCACTTTGAAGAATGGGCAAAGGTGAGCGCGCACGCCAGCGTCCGATACGGCAAAAGACCATCACGCCTCCCCAAACGCCTCGAAATACTACGCTCAAAGCTTTATTGTCAGACTCACTTTGCTAATTTATCTGCAAGGCGTCGTCAAGCCCATAACACTTAAGCAGTGTCGTATTATCTACATTGCCTTGACAAAACTGTACTTTACGATGCCTCTTATTTTTTTCAGCCGCTGGCGGACGTTTTAAATTTACCTCGTACATCTTAAACCTATAATGTATTTTACGATGATTTCGAATTGATGAAATTGTTCAGACCTGATTAATTTAAATTCGATTTACGAATATCCATAGTAAGTGAAGAGGTTGGCGAAAATCTTTATTCAGAAGAATTTTGAATATTGGAGTCTAATAAATCGAATACGGAGCTCTCTTTTTTTCCACTGGAGTGCATGCTTGCAAACTAAAGGGCTTGAAAAATCTTAATCCGAGGAGCTCGCGACTAGACAAGAACCTTAGCCACCGCCTATATACAGGAAGTGGCGTTTATAGTTCACAAAAAGGAGTAAAGAATCATTCTGCAGTCTGCGTCGACGACTTAAGCGTGTCTCGAGCGGATTTTTACAGCCTCGGCTGCTCCATTTTTCAACGGGTTTATACATGGCCGGAGTGAATAACAGTTACGAGCTTTCGAGCAGTCCACGCTCGCGCGCGAACCTGAAAGATGGAATACCCGACCAAGTGAATGAGTAAAAAGCCTATGCACGAGTGACATTTGAAGAGCGCCACAGTTTTCGTATCGACGTTTCTCATAATGCTACTTCTGACAATGTTTTATACAATCACCGCCTGTTATTGACTATTTGTTAACCCATTAAAGCCCACGCTAAGACTGGTTGAGATAGCGACAAACAAACTGTGCTATCTTTTGCATAAGTGAAAAATAAAATATACGTATTTTTTTTTATGTTATTTTCAATTGTTTATAACAAATTATTTAAACAAATTACAAAAAAATTCATAATTATCAAAATCTAAATGCGGGAATCGATTCTGGAGGTGAAATCAAGACGAAAACCTATATAACACTTTTTTGTCAGAATTCAATTTGTTAGTGTAACGTAGGAATAAACAATTGCATGTTGGGGAGAAAAAGTGACCATGTCAAGTCCCAAGCAAAATCTATCTGGAATAGCAAAAAATAAACTGTGCTATCCTTTGCATAAGTGAAAAATAAAATATATATATTTTTTCTTATGTCATTTGCAATTGTTTATAACAAATTATTTAAACAAATTACAAAAAAATTCATAATTTTCAAAATCTGAATGCGGAAATCGATTCGGGGGATAAAATTGAGATGAAAACCTATATAACACTTTTTTGTCAGAGTTCAATTTGATATCTTTAAGTAGAAATAAACTATTGACAAATAAGTGTTTTCATTCTCACACATGGTATCTGGAATCATATCAGTATTTTTTACTGATAAATTTTGAGATCTTATACTGTAATTGGATAAGTTTATTTCATTTCGTAAATCCTTCCGTGTTAGAGATCACGTTTGAGAGGCGGGCTAACGGTTGAAAACATTTATACATTGGATCTATTCTTTGAAATAATAATTTCGGAAAACTTTTAGTTTTTATTTTGTTCTAAATTGGTAACGTTACTGATAATGCCGAGACGGCGAATTAGCGATCTACCAAATTTAGTTGAAGATTCTGATAGTGATGAAGGTCAACATATTGATATAGCATTCATTCCTAATGAATATGAAAGTTCAGATGGAGATTCGGACGGTGATCCAAATGAAGATACATTATCAAATGAATTACCATCAGGTTCTTACGAACATGTTAAAAGTACATACACAAGTACTCAGAAATTGTTGGAACCGAATCATAAGTACAGTTGGAAAAATGATGCTTTGAATGATATTTCTCCGCATGTCGAGAGCAACTTCAATATTTCACCTATTTCATCATTGCAATCCAAAAATGCTTTTGAGTTGTTTGAGGTTTTCTTTTCGAAATCAATGAAAAACCATATCATTGAAGCCACTTCTGAAAATCATTTTGATTTATGTATGGATGATCTAGAAAAATTTATTACAATCATAATGATTACTATCTTCAATTCTAGAAAAAGTATTCGTGATTACTGGTCAAAAAAGCGAATACTTCAGTGTCCAGTAATTGCGGAACTTATGTCTAGAAATAATTTCGTTGCCATAAAAAAGAACATACGATTCTATAAACTTCAAGAAACTGATCAAAATGATAAAGTCTGGAAGGTTAGAACTCTGTATGATATGTTTCGTGAGAATTGTATGCAATTTGGTTTCTTTGACTATAATTTATCAATAGATGAGATAATGGTAAAATACTTTGGTAGGTTTGGTATCAAGCAATGTATAAGGAATAAACCCATTAGATTTGGAATAAAAGAATGGGCAGTCTGTTCTTCTGATGGGTATATATATGATCTTGATATTTACACTGGTAAATCAGGAATCGATGAACGAAATCCTTTAGTTGCCGTTGGTTTAGGGTCTAGAGTGGTGATAAAGTTACTTTCGAATTTATTAGAAAAAACACAGAGAGAAGAACTGAAAAAGTATCATATTTATTTTGACAACTTTTTCACAAACCCAGATCTTATGATTCATTTGAAAAAAAATGGTTTATCGGCGACAGGAACTGTTCGGCATAATCGTGTGAAAGTGAAAGTCGAAATGCCAAAAAAAGCTAAAAGAGGATACACTATTTCAATGCATGAAGTGAATTCAAAATTGAATTATATTACAGTTATGGACTCAAAGCCAGTATCGATTCTCTCTTCGAAATATGGAAATGAACCAAAAGTTGAAATGCAGAGATGGCAGGAATCATCGAAAAAATCTATTCTTTTTCCTCATTGTTTCTCTATGTATAATGAACACATGGGTGGCGTCGATCTACATGATCAACACTGTAATGCTTTGATGCCTACAATTCGAAGTAAGAAATGGACATGGTGCCTTGTATTACGGCTCATCCAAGCATCCTTAGCAAACGCTACAGTGATTTACAATAAGTTACATCCAGACGAAAGAAAAGGTTCCAAAGATATTGTTCAAGAAGTTTGTGAATATTATATTGACAAGTTATCTTCCAAACGTCCCCCCAAACGACAGAAACAGAGTGAAACTTCATCCCAAGAACACGTGATGAAACATGGGAGTCTTAGGAAATGTGGAATTTCAACATGTCGGACAAGAACGGAATGGTATTGTGAGAAATGTTCTATGCCTGTTTGCAAAAGTCATAAAGAAGGACATGGCAATGAACAATAATTCAATCCCACCG